AACCATTTTAAAGTTTTCACCCTGTTTTTTTGCTTTATCTCAAAGCATTTTTGTGTATATTTTTAGATTTCCAAGAAGTTATGATTGTTAGAACTTTGACCAAAAGATGTCGCTTTGTTAGCCAATTTTTAGAAATAAATTCATGAAATTATAAGTCTGCGCTCCTTTATAGCAGAATAAGTGTCTCTTCTGCTTTTTTTTTGCGAATTAGGCGCGTCAAAGACATTCAAAGTAGTATAATGGCTTTTGCTTAATTCTACACACTTCAATCAATATTACAATTCTAGTAAATTATTGGCGGTTGATGCCAAGGTAATTCAAACAGGTCAAAACGATGTAGCCAACTTTTCTACTTTCACCTGAACAACTAATCGCCTAAACTTTCTCTGGTAAAATATGCAAAAGAACTTCCCTCCACAGAAAAGCTACGTTTTTTGCATAGATATACTCTTTATAATAAATTAACACGGCTATAATTGTTTAGTGCAAATAGAGAGGGAGGGTGACAGTTAAAGAATGAAATCAAGGCAAGGCAACCTCAAATGAATCACCTTGAACTGTAAAGAGTGTAAACAACTCTTTCAATCCAAACCATTATAAGAAAAAATCATATGTAATTTCAGATCTCTAGCTTACACTTTTTGACTTTTTCACTATGGCTTAACTAGCCCTTCAAAAATTAATAACATATTATGATTGTGTAACATTTGCAGCGCTTAGGGTACTTGCGTGAGCACTTTAACGCCCGCTCAGCGCATGTTTGTTCAAGAGGCGGAGTGTAAGTTTTTGTGCACATTCTTAAACCTACAAACGCCTAACACATTTGTGACCAGCATAGGCCATGTCAGGAGCTGTCACAAGCACGACTTGTTCTTGTCATTACAAAATCAGAGGGAGTAGTACCGCCCCAGATAACGTTTCCTTCGTTTTGTGGAAACCTCAACCTGCTTCACCTTCTTGGATCTTGCAGTAAAAGGTCTTTGGATAGCAACCACTTCTCTTAGCTGCAACAGGCTTCGCCATCCTACCATTTCCATATCCTGGTCTGCCTTACGCGTTCCCAAGCTTTGCCATAATCTAAACCTGATCCTTTTTCTCTTTATTGACATCAACTGTTTCTCGACAACGGAAGCAGTATTATTGATAAACGAGGATGGCGAGTGGAGATTTCAATAAGAGAACAAATTATCTAGGATTATCCGCGGAGGTTCACCAACCCCATCAGACAGGATAACAAGGTCACGGAGTCTAAAAGTCTTCAGGATCACGATTTACATATAAACATCAAACAACTATGAATACTTTTCGTTTAAAAAAAACACAATAACAAGCCCAGCTCTGCTTTACGATTTATTGTCGTCTACGGCCATACATTTCATTGCTCGCAATCTTCTAAATGTATTTCCCTATCATAAAGTCATTTGGCCTCATTGCAGATATTGGGTACCAATCAACTGGGCTCTAGCCATTGTTTCTGATGCGTTCAAGAAGACTTATATAGGCAATCCCCCTTCCTTAACTTTGATAATAAGGGTAAAACTATGAATATCTTGAACTATGAGTAGAAGCGGATATTTTTCTTCAATCTTGCAGGAAATTAATACATTTCGTGCAGGGCTCGCCCTACTGTGCAACTACGACTGGGTACCAATACCGATAGCATATCCACAAGTGAGTTATAGAAAATCCTTTATAAGTGCTCCCTGCAACAGGGAGATGCTAGACTTTTAGAAGCGTAAGAAATAGGAAAAAAGGTCATGTTCCTTTCCAGGTGGTATTCCTTGCTGTACGCTCATACTTTATCATTTGTTTGGTTTCTCGCCAATATCTCATAGGAGATGGAGCGCCAACTCGTGAAATGGTATGTTTTCCCAAAAAGAAGGAATGATAAAGGAGAGAACTTAGATTTGTAACAGCAGGAATTGAATGGTGGTCATAATTAGAGCTTACCTCAAAACTTACTGCCAAACATGTAGACGGCGGCCTTAGCTCGAATTTACTGATAATCTTATTCTTGCGCGCATCCGCAAGCTTTCAAATTAAGCAAAAATGCGCGCAATTAAAGACAGGTAGGGACTACAATACCGCTCATAACTTTCGCAAAAGAAAGATTTCACATAAAAATCCGTCGCAA